GATAGCCATTTGGGCAAGAAACTGCTCTTGCCTGGACTATTGCATAAACTGGACACAGAGAACCCACAGAGAGAGGACTACTGAACTTGCATAAGGTGAGATGATCTTTCGGGGTTCCTGATTCATGAAAGAGTCTGCGAGACATTCTGCAGGACACAACAGATAGTGACTGAACTGACTTTGAATTTTCCTGCTTTATGGAAATGTCTGCTGGATACCATGGGCCTGAAGGCTGAAGATGGATGCCCCAACGGTAGGTACAGAGGAACCTTTGGTGACTGTCCAGGCAGCAAGATGTCTCTGTCATTTCTAGAGTTTTAAAAGTTGCTTTTTTCTTGTTTGCTTAGGTAGTATTGTATCTTTCTGGAGTCTTTGATGGAGTTAAGAATAGTTAGTTATAGTTATAGTTTTCCTTAGTTATGATAAAGATTATTGTAATTTTTACCTGATAACTGTTTGTTATATGTAATTTTGCTATGTTAAAGTTAAAGCCTTCCTTTTTTTTTTTTTTTTTTTTGTTTAAACCGAAAAAGGGGAAATGATGGAGGAAGGTCATTGGTTAAATAAAAAGAAACTGCTTGGCCCTCATTGGTTAGAAGATAGGTGGCAGGAGTAAACAGAACAGAACGCTGGGAGGAAGAGGAAGTGAGCTCAGAGTCCACAGCTCTTTTCTCGGGAGCAGATGCCTCAGAGAGACGCCATGCTCCGCTCTCCCGGGCAGATGCACGCGATGAAGCAAGCCTCCAGGTTAGACATGCTGAACCTTTCCCGGTAAGACTGGTGCTCACAGATTATTAGAGATGGATTAATCGGGATGTGAGAATTAGCCTGTAAGGGCTAAAGCTAAAGGGCCAAGCAGTGTTTAAATGAATACAGTTTGTGTGTTGTTATTTCGGAGCATAAGCTAGCCAGGCTGCCGGGGTGCTGGGGATGCAGCCCCGCCGCTCATATTACTACAGTTAAGTCCAGTGTGGTGACATTGCAGTGGGGCCCTGTGTGAGGCCGGGGAGGTCTGAAGAGGTCTCTCAACCCGGACTGCTTCCTTTTCAATGCCACACTGTGTTTTAATCCCACCCTACTCTAACCGGATACCCTGACTGCCAGCAAAGTTGGCAAGGCCTTCTTCAGTGCTCCGGTTTCCCATGTGTGCCGTTAGAGCATTCTTTGTCTCCCTGGTGTCTCTCAGAACCAGGACCAAGCCCTCTGTCACTTGTAAAACCTGTTAGACTGAGCTGGAACACTTGCCGAGTGTCCTGCAGAAGGCTTAGGCCTGTGTCTTTCCTGCTTGGACATGTACAGCCATCCGTTGCCAGTGTGGTGCCATCTGGTCTCTCAGTGACCCTGCAGTGTGGACTTTATTGTGGGGAAGAAGCTGGTTCTCCCAGATGTGGCTTCCCCTCCAGCCATTAGGACCTCAGTCTGAAATGTTACATTAGAAAAATGGTTTAAAGTGGCCAACTCCAGAGATACATATTTTTAATTTTAAGTAAAAATTAAAAAGTGACAGAACTAAGCAGGAACACGCTGGGATCCCATCTTTGGAAAGGCCCAAACCACCTGAACCATAGAGAGACTCTCTCAACAGACAAGGCCCGGGCTGTCTGGAGCTGAGGTGGCAGACGGGAGGGTCGATTCCTAGAGAACCACAAGAGAAAACAGTGACAAAACTGATCAATGCATTTGCTTTCCTTTTTTTGTCTTGTTTTTTAAAATGGGGCTAACTATGTAGCTCTGACTGTCCTGTAACTGACTATATAGACCAGGCTGGCCTTGAACTCATAGAGATTCACCTGCCTCTGGGTGCTGGGACTAATGGTGTAGTCTTCTTAAGACTTTCATCTTTCTCCTACTCTTCTCTTCTCTTCTCTTCTCTTCTCTTCTCTTCTCTTCTCTTCTCTTCCCTTCCCTTCCCTTCCCTTCCCTTCCCTTCTCTTCCCTTCCCTTCTCTCCTCTCCTCTCCTTTCCTCTCCTCTCTATTCCTCTCCTCTCCTCTCCTCTCCTGTCCTCTCCTCTCTTCTCCTCTCCTCTCCTTTCCTCTTTACTACTGCGTTCCCTTCTGGTTCTTCAATTTCTCTGTTTTTTTTCTTTTTCTTTTTTTTCTTTTTGGTTTATTGATACAGGATTCCTTTGTGTAGCTTTGGTGCCTGTCCTGGAACTCACTCTATAGTCCAGGCTGGTCTTGAACTCACAGAGACCCATCTGTCTCTGCCTCCCAAGTGCTAGGATTAAAGGTGTGCACCACCAACCACCACCTAGCTTCCTTCCTTCTTTCCGTTTTTCTTTTCTTTTTGAAAGGCTCCTATAAGGCTCAGACTGGCATTGAATTTGTGGCTGAGGTTAATTTAATATGTAAAAGCTTGCTAGGAATATGCTATAGTGATTGACCAAGCAGTGAATCTATGTGGTTATTTCGGGAGTCTGGGCAGCTGGGAAATGAACAAATGGCCTCTTAAAACACACTTGGTTTTTGAGACAGTACCAAGCAGGCTAGGCTGGCTGCAGTCTAGGTTGGCTGGCCAGCGAAGTCCTAGGGACCCTACTGAGTCTTCCTCAGCAGTGGACTTGGAGGTGCATTACCTGGCTCACCTAGCCTTTTTTTTTTTTTTCCATTTGTGTTTTCGTCTCCAAAATGCCATCGCAAGGGGCTTGGCAGTTCAGAACACTTAATGCTCTTACAAAGGATGGAGTTCCCAGCTCAACGTTAAATCCAACCCAAGGAGCCCTGATAACTCAGGTACCTGAACTTACATGAACACACACACACACACACACACACACACACACACAGTTAAAAATACAAATAAATATTAAAACACCATCAAATGATGAATGCCACCAATCGTGTGGTAATTAAATGAGTCAGTACGGGCACTATATTGAACACCATCTAAAACACGGTAAGTGCTCTCCCAGTTACTGAGTTCCTTCTATTTGGGCACTCAAATCTCTTCCGCAGTCCCCTTTGTAACTCCATTTTAACACTAGGTGGCAGCAGCTCTCACTTAAACAATTATAAGGCGGAATGCTAACTGGAAGATAAAGGAGAGGTACCAGCAAGATGGGGAGAGACTGAGACAGAGATGGAGGGGAAGATGGGCATAACAAGAGGCACAGAAAGAGGAGGGGAGAGAGGGGAAAAAGGAGAGGTAGAATTTGGTAATTTATTTTTATTAGCGTACAACATAGCGGTGTCATCCCAGGATCTTCATAAGTATCCTTGCACTTGGTTCTAGCTCATTATCTTTTCTCTCCACTCCTGTGTCCCTTCTTGCTAGAACTTGGTATTTCCTTTCCTTATTCTTTTATTTTTTTTAAATATTTATTTATTTATTATGTATACAATATTCTATCTGTGGTGCAGGCCAGAGGAGGGCACCAGACCTCATTACAGATGGTTGTGAGCCACCATGTGGTTGCTGGGAATTGAACTCAGGACATTTGGAAGAGCAGGCAATGTTCTTAACCTCTGAGCCATCTCTCCAGCCCCTTCCTTCTTCTTTTAAAAACATTTTTTTACATGTATAGTTTCCCCCCCTTGCAAGTATGTAGTGTCTGGAGGGGCATCATCTCTTGGAACTGCAGTTACATAGGGCTGTGAGTGGCCATGTGGGTGCTGGGAATTGGAATCTGTGTCCTTTGGGAAAGCAGCCAGAGCTCTTAACTACTGAGCCATATTTGCAGCCCTTAAGATTTATTTTTACTTTGTATGTTAGGGCATTTTTCTGCGTGTATGCCAGCTCACCATGTATGCGCAATGCTCTCAGTGGCCAGAGAGGATGTCAGATGCTCTGGACCGGGAGTTTCAGATGGTTGTTAGTGCCATGTGGGTGCTGGAACCCGAGTCTGGGTCTTCTGAAGAGCAGCAGGTGCTCTTCTTCACCAGTGAGATATTTCTCTAGCCCTAATTTGGTATTTCTAAAGAAAATTCAGAAAATAGTCTTTGTTTGAGAATCTTTATTGGACAGCCTTCTTCCACCTTCTTGGATGTTTAGTTTATTTCTCCTGTGTCAGTGGAGTTGTGGGGGTGTTTATGCTCTTCGTTGATAATATTTAAGCATTGTTAAGTGGCTCTAGATGAGAGTTTCCTAGATTGCAGGGCACATGTCTGTAAAAATGTACTTTCAGTACACTGTTAATTTAGATTTTCTCCTTCTCCTCCTCCCATTACCAGAAATTATGCAGTAGAGTTTCTCACATTTGGGGAACTTGCAGGGGTCAGCATGTCCAGGGTGCTCACCCTGGGAAAACCACCTTCGGGATGATCTCCCCTGCCAGCTAAGTATTTGGTATTAGTCTTAATTATAAAAATAGGCTGGACTGGCAAGACAGCTAAGGGATAAAGGTTTGCTGTCAAGTCTGATGCTCTGCGAGTTTGAAGCCAGCCTGGGTTGCCTAGTGGTTCTAGACCATTCTGAACTTCTCAACAAAACAAAGCAGGAAAGAAGTGTGGCAGGTAAAGAGATTAGTGTGTTTGACCTTAAAAGCTGGCCCTGGAACTCGCTAAGTACTGAAGGCCCATTCCCCTCTCAATCGGAACATTTTGTCTCTTTCATAGAGTCGTCACTGAACTCACACTGATATAATCTGGTCCTTCTGTGCTTCAGAGACTCGCAAGCATTAGCTTTAATCCGTACTACCCACGAAATCTACACATACAATATTCTCTTTGACTTAGAAAGTCATTTAGGCTCGGAGGAGGGACACTGGAAAGGTCCTGGCCTTAGCAAGGAACAGCTCTAGCAAAACCCTCCCGCATAGTGACACCATTTGCCTGGGACTCTAAGAAGTCATGGATCCTCATGGTCACTGTTGTGTGACTATACCCACAATTTCATCTGCTTTTTGTAGAAACTGACGCCAGAACCTCACAGTGAGGGGTTGAGTCTGAGCGCCCAGTGGGCGCGCGCACACAAAGCCCTTTGTTGAGGCAGCTGGTGACGCAGGGCGGGCACGGGGCAAGCAGGGGCGCAAGAGCAAGCAAGCAGGCGCACTCACGAGCAAGCGGGCGCACGAGCAAGCAGGAAGGCGCGTTCCGCGGCGGGGCGGCTGCGAGTGCGCGGCCATGTACGCCTAGCGCTTGCTGCCCTGGGTGGCGCGGCTGAGGCCCACGGACCTTCAGCCGGGTACAGAGGGGCGGGAAGTGGCTCGGGCGTGGGAGGGCGAGGAGGGCGCTCGCTGCCCCGCTCCAGTCGGTTCTGGCTGGAACTGCACCCTGGAAAGGGCCGCGGCAACCAGTGCAAGCCTGGTGATGCCGGGAGTAGAGCTGCAGGGTCCTTGTCCTTGTCACAGCCATAAGGGCACGCAGCTGTGAGACTCTGCATCCCGGCACAGGCGCCTATGGTGCCAGGGCGCAAGGCTGCCTGCCAACTGCAACCTTTTAGTTGCCTGATAGAGCGACTTCCTGGAAACAAACAGAACTAGCTTTTTTTATTTTATTTACTTATTTATTTTTATGTCCAGGGTCCAGATCCAGCTAATGTTTACGAATGTGCTTCCTGACATCCCTCCATGTTTTGTCATGACCTTTTGGTTATTTGGCTATAAAAATATTCAAACGAGAGCTGTTGCTGTTCTTCCAGGCCAAGAGCACCGGAGACAGTACATCAGGCTCCTATGTAAGAGAAAGACCGTGACCATTCACCATGGCGTATGGCTTGCCAAGAAAGAACACAGTGCAAACCATTTTGAAGGGCAGTTGTTACAAAATGTAAGTACACACACACACACACACACACACCATACACACACATACCTCTACACAAATTACAATAGTGTGGTTGGGGTTTGTGACTGGCTGGGCACGCTTCGCAGCAAGTTGATGGAGTATAAGAAAGCATTTTAAAGTGTCTGAATTTTGTTTCTAAAAGACTACTTGAAAAATTATTTTTATGTTGTACGTGCCTCTTCGTGTGTGCATTATGTTTAAGGAAGTGTCTATGGGGGTCAGAAGACCTCCCCTGGAACTGGAGTTACAGATGCTTCTTGTGAGCTGCCCCAGGCAGACGCTGGGAACCAAACCTGGGTCCTTTGAAAAAGCAGTTTATGCTCTAAGTAGATGATCCATCTTTCCAGCTTCCCAAATACTACTTTTTATAAAAATATACAAATGGGTGTAGAGAGGTGTCTCATGGGTTAAGAGCACCCGCTGCTTTCCCGAGGATTGGGGCTTAGCTCCTGGCACCCACATGGCGGCTCACACGGTCTCTAACTCCAGTGCCAGGGGATCTGTCACCCTCTTCTGGACTCAGTGGGCATAAAGCACGCTTGAAGACACGTGTATATATGCAAACAAAACACCTCCACAAAATAAAATAATCTGAAAAATCAGAATATGCATACAGGGGAGGGAAGGAGGTATCTGGCCTTGTTTCTGGGCACGTTCACATCAGTTCATCACTGAGGGAGCCTTGGAGGAATACAGCTTGCTGTCTGGCTCACAGGCTTGTGCTTAACTCGGCTTATACACCCCAGACCACCTGCCCCCAACCCCGGAGTGGTGCAGCCCACTGTGAGATGGGCCCTCCTATGCAGTTAACAGGGAAAACAAGTCCCCACAGATGAGGCCTTGTGATCTGGGAAATCCCTCAACTGAGACTCCCTTCTTAGGTCGTTCTAAGCGGCCTCAAGTGGCCAGTTAAACTGAGACACAATTCTATTTAGTCTTCACACCAAAGACAGACTGTGAAATGAGAAAACAGAGGTCTAGGTTGATCAAACCCACAGCCGTGTGCTTATGATATTCCGCGGGAGGCTGTGTCACCTTATTTAAAAACATTTTTTTTTCAAGAGCAGTTTCTCTGTGTAACAGTCCTAGCTGTCCTGGAACTAGCTCTTGTACACCAGGCTGGCCTTGAACTCACAGGGATTCGCCTGCCTCTGCCACCCGAGTGCTAGGATTAAAGGTGTGCGCCCAGCTTTTTAAAAAAACATTTTAAAAGTGATTTTTAGGTTAACATGGGTTTCTATGTATGTGTCTTTATTTGTAGGTCTGGGTTTTTTCTTTGGTTTCAGTCATTCAAAAACACCTGTACTGCTCCCATCCTAAAACACACCTTTAGCGGATACAAATAACACCTGTGTAAGAGCGCTGATCAGTTTAGCTTTCCAGCCTCTCTGGCAGGCAGCGTGTGGCAACATGGACTTTTTAGCCTGCAGTCCTGCGCTCCAAGCCGGGCTCCCTCTGCACACAGCGTCTTAGCCTTATCTCCCACATCTGTAACGCAATGCTCACTTATCTATTGTGGTGGGGCTGGCAAATGAGCCAGTGCCTGTGTGAGACCTGCTGGTTGCCTGGGATACAGAGAACACATCAGGAACACGCATTGCCAGCACCACACAGTAGTCTCACTCTGTGATTTTGAGCTATTGCCTTAGAGAACTGGATTTGTTTCACAAGGTTTTTTGAGCCGGCCTTACTAGGTGACCTTAGCTGGTCTGAACGAGCTATTTGGCTGTGCAGATCAGGCCAACGTCAGCTTCTGCATCTGTTTTCCAAGCGCCTTGATTCAAAGGAATGCACAACCAATGCTTGGCTTTTATGTTTTAACCTCTCTGCTTTGGTTTATGACATTTACCATTATGTGTGAGTCAAGCAAGGTTTTCTTTTTAGAATAGCGTTCTGCGATGTCAGTGTGGTTCCTCACAGGGTGGCAGAGCTAGAGCGGCAGGGGATTGCCATTCGTTACCTCCAGCTTACTTCTGTCGGTTGTGTGTGTTTAGACCTTGGGTTACATAAAGCACCATTCAAGTAAATATTATTACAAGTGCAATTTTAGCTAAGTCAGGGGGCATGGGCCTGTAATTCCAGCCACTTGAGTAACTGAGGCAGGAGGATTATAAATTAAAGACCTGCCTGAGCAATTTAGGGAAACAACAACAAAGAAAAAAATAATTACAACACAAAACACATCAAATCCACAAAAAAACCAACCAAGCAATCAGATAATCCACACACATGGGGAGCCATAGGACAGCTTGTGGGAGCTGGTTCTCTCCAGGGACCAATCTGGGTCACCCACCTTGTTGGCAAGCACTCTTCCCCGCCAAACCATCTCAGAGTCTGCACTTTAAAGCAGGGTGAGCATTTTTATAAATACATCCGGGTGATTTTGCAACTGTTTCTATGATTTTTACCCTGTTAATTCACTTCCTAACATTGTATGCTGAAGTATCAACGAAACTGGAGGAGAAAAATCGAAGGGCAGCAGGTGTCACGAACCATTTCCCACCTTTAAACGAGGTGGAAGGAATGTGAACCGCAGATGAGAACCGCGTAGCTGACACTTGTCCTTCAGAATTAAGCAAACCTTAGTTGGTAGTCTCATTTGTTTCTCCAGGTTGGATATGAAAAGCCTTGGTATATGCTACATACCCACTCTTTATGTGCGGCTCTTTATGTACGACCTTTAGCTTTATGTTTTGCATGAGTATTTTCCTAGTATGTCTCTCTGTGCACCTTGTGCATGAGGTGCCCTCAGAGGTCAGAAGAGGGTGCTAGATTCCCCGGAACTGACTTTACTGATGGTTGAGAGCCACCCTGTGGGTTCTAGGAACGGAACCCTGGTCCTCTTAACTGCTGAGTCATCTCTCCAGCCCCATTCCTTTGTTGCTCTTTAAAACAGGGTCCTACCATGTGCACCAGGCCGCTCTGGCACTTATAATACATTCTAGGCTGCCCTCAACCTCACCATCCTCCTGCCTCTGCCTCCTAAGGACTAAGATTATAGTTGTGTACACCGCTCTCAGGATTGCTGGATATGCCCTGCCATATCCAGCTCATGTTATTTGATCCACAAAAGACACTGTAGATAGGCGTGGTGGTGCACACATGTAAACCCAGCACTTGGGAGGCAGAAGCAGGCAGATCTCTGTGAGTTTGAGGCTAGCCTGGTCTACATAGTAGTCAAGGCTAGCCAGGGTGTGACAGTGAGACCCTGTGTCAAAATAAAAATAAAAAGAGACATTTAGCTTACGGTTCCCGTGTATAATCTCTTCAGTGGATTGGCTGGAACTGTAGGGTGCTGCACTGTGAGCAAACCCTGTCTTCGTTTCGGGTCTTTTATCAAGATCTCTGCCAATTAGCAGGCTTTTATTGCTAGTTAGGGTGGTAACTGTGGAAAATCCTCCAGAAACCAAACTTGAGGGAAAGGTAGCAAGATGTCTGTATTTCACAGAGCATGCCCAGTAAAAACTGATCGAATAAGTTCATGAAATTTCGCCTCAGACAGGAACCATGGGACCTTGCAAAGCTCACAAAGACCTGGTACACAAACTTAGTGAACATCAGGTTGCCGTTCTTGGGAGAAATTGCTTTTGGTAGTCCTGTGAAGCTCACGCCATGCAAAACCGTCAAGGATGGCCTGCTCCCTTCAGCACAATGTAAGCTAGCTTTCTTTCTTTTCTTTCTTTTCCTTCCTTCCTTCCTTCCTTCCTTTCCTTCTTCCTTCCCTCCCTCTCTTTCTTTCAAGAGCTACTTTAATAAATTAGTGATCACAGAACTTTTAAGTTTATCATCCACACACACCCATGCTTCCTTTCTGTCTGTCCTTAGTCAAGTTGTTCTTCTACAGTGTCCACCTGCTCTGTGCTTTGAGATGGTGAAAACGCCACTCAGATTTGCTGCATTTGCTTTATCTTTCAGCCATCAAACTCGAAAATGAGTATGAAAAAAAGCGCCTAGCAAAGCTGAAGTGTCAGGAGAACGCGCACAAGGAAATGCAGGGTTTACTAAGGCAGCAGAGAGTCGGCTTGCGGAGACCTCTTCAACCCAAGTGAGCCGGTGTGCTGTTGATCTGAACCTGCTTCCGGCGTCCACGGGGATGGCCTCTGATTCTCTCATGGTATCGGGCAGACACGGTGGTGCCTGTGGGTGACATAGCGTGGTGGGTTCCTGCTACACTCTTGTTCCCTGTGCGCATACGGCAGCCCTCCCTGTAAGTAGATGAAAGACCACCTGGGGTTGAGTCATTCTGTGTCGGTCATTTCGTGCTTGTAAGATGGCGTGGGGAAGATGACGGTCCTTGTGAGAGGCTGCATGCTGAAGAAACGTCTGGACATGCATCCTTGAGATCCCAGGGAGAGTTCTCAGAAAGACGGTGAGAGAGAAGCTCCTCTCTTCACAGCGAGAATCCGCACACTTTCATCTGGTTAAGAAGCAGCTAGGTTTCATTTCAGTGCCTCTGTGATTATTGATTTCTGGTAAAGTATCACTTATTCTTCTAATGTGGCACTTTATTTTTTAACTTCTTATTATGTAGTACTTTAAAGAAAGACTTATTCTATTCTTGTTCTCCTGAAAAAAAAATTGTCAAGCCACTTTCCTTCTCACTAATGTTCTTTCCATGATGAACCTGGAGCAGGTGCAGCTATGTGGCAGAAAGGGAAGTGAAGGGACAAAGATGGCCTTGTTGTGAGGAAATCTCGTATTCGCAGAGTGGCTGGGGAATGAGGAATTAACTGGAAAGAACTGCCTTTGTATGAACCAAGTTTTCTAGAATTTGCATACAATAAAGCATATTTGGATACTAATGGCATATTTAAGCCCTGTTTTTTAAAAGGTGGTTCAACAGAGATGCTAGGACCATCTCATCTCCCAGCTTCAGAGAAGATCCTGTGGGGCAGCGGTGTTTAAACTCTCAGCCTCAAGCTGGTGTGTGTCACAGCTGTGCAGAGTATGAGAGGCTTGTGTCTCCAGCACGGAGAAACAGAAAAAGAACACAGACTCTACACTTGCTTTTCTCTAATTACTTATAGTAGTGTGATGTGGGTGGGGTGACCTCTTCTCCAAGTCTGTGTGCAAAGCGGCACATAAAAATCTGTGTGAAACAATGGCAACTTGTTCATAGTGCTGTCGTGGTTTGTGAAAACCAGAACTATTGAATTTTTCAGAAAATCTGTTTTGAAATCAGGTGTGGTATGTACATATGCTGTTCCAACATGCAGGAGGCTAGAGGATGAGGCAAGGGGATTGTGAATTTGAGGCCAGCCTGGGGTACAGAGTAAGATCTTGTGAGTTCTGTGTGTGTTAGGCCATGCAACCTGATTATTTGTTTATTTTATTTTATTTATTTATTTTTTTGAGACAAGGTTTCTGTGTGTAGCTTTGGAGCCTGTTCTGGAACTACCTGATTTTTTATATTCAAAGCATGGTACGAGACCAGCGAGGGGGGTCAGTTGGTAAAGGTTCCTGCTGCCAAGCCTGATGGCCTTCATCCGTTCCCTGGGACTCGCATGAGGACAGATGAGAATTGATTCTTGCAAGCTGTCCTTTGACCTCCATACATTTATCATGGCACGCACATGCCCATACACACACACACACACACACACACACACACACACACACACACACTAATGTGTGACAAAACTTTTTTTTTTGGTTTTTCAAGATAGGGCTCCTCTGTGTATCTTTGGCTGTCCTGGAACTCGCTCTGTAGACCAGGCTGGTCTTGAATTCACAGAGATCCACCTGCCTTTGCCTCCCGAGTGCTGGGATTAAAGGTGTGCACCACTGCCCATCAGACAAATTTTTTGCGAGGGCGACTCAACACACGTCTACTCACCACACATGGGGAGCCCACAGCACACCAAAGTACAGAACCAATCAAGTCCAACTTGGTGATCCATGAGTTTTATTGGGTTAGTTACAGGAATATGGGTGAAGGAGCAGAAATGACTGACAGACAGCTGCATTACCAAAACCCACCCCTTCATGGGTGACAGCTTACAAAAGCTGTGAACCTGGTGCACACTGCACAGCCTGCAAGCAGCTCAACAGTTTGGAGAGTGTTCTTCCCATGTGACTCAGCTGGTCTAAACCTCTTCCAGGCAGCTTGTCTGGTCTTCGCCTTCTTTGCCTCTTGACTTGTTTACTCCGGTAGGGAGAAACCTAGTGAATCTAGTCAGTTTCAGGGACTTCTTGAAGCTGTTTTATTTTCCTTCCTACTTAAGGAGCTTCCTACAGGATAAGATCTTTTAATGCACACATGGGGTGGGGGGTGGAGAGACAGACAGACAGACACACATGACTATGTCCCGAGTGAATGCACATGAATGATGTGAGCGTCACCATGACAAGGACCAAGGCCACAGACCCAAGGGAAATTGGCAAATCCTTCTTCTTCCTCTGGCCCAAGTACACGTGCTTGTGGACTATTGATCAGTGTGTACAAGTGTTAAATTAACTGCACTTTCCTCCGCGCATTTGTTTTCTGCTCAAGGTTGCTGCCTTCAGAGACCTGCTTCTGCGACCAGCTAAACGGCCCACCCCTGCACACGGTAAACACATGGAGGTTCCCGGTTGCTTGTGTGCGGCTCTCAGGACCTTCTAGGGACTGTTAGAGCGGTCTCATCTTCCCTCAGACATAGGTTCTGTTAGGTTTCTATTCTTTGGTGCCGCTGTGAAAGTTAATGAACAGGCAACTTTTTATTTGCTTTTTACCAAATGCTTTCTGGCACAGAGCATATAATGCTGTCTTGAGAAAAGGCAGGATTTGAAGATAGTGCAGTTCCTCACTAGTTTGAGGGAAAAGTGCCTTCTGCTGCTGGAAGAGTCTTCTGATTACACAATATCTTCAGGCACGTGTTTTGACTCTCTTAAAACTGCTTGTAGGAAAATAAAGACAGCGCTGCAAAGTAACCCGAGTGAAGGTTCTAGTTTATAAATGTGTGTGTGTGTGTGTGTGTGTGTGTGTTTTACCTGCATGTGTGTGTGTGCGGCACTTGTGTACCTGGAGCCTCAGGAAGACAGAAGAGGGCATCATATCCTCTGCGAGTGAAATTATAGACAGCATGTGGGTGCTGGGAATTGAACCCTTGTCTTCTGCTAGAGTAACCCATGCTCCCTGACTCCTGATTCAACTCTCCAGCTCATGAGCAAAGGTTTAAAGCCATATTTTAAGATTTATTCTTTGATAAATTTATATGTGCATACAATGTAGTTAGATCATATACAACAATATTCACTGCTCCGACTCCTTGCAGGCTGCCCCCCCCCCTTTCTGCCAGAAATCAACCAAACAACAACAGAAGCCCACTGAGTCTCAGAGCCACCCAGACACTCATGGATGTATTCCTGGAGCATGGGGCAATGACTCCGGGCTACTGAAGAAAACACTCTCCTGCCTGGAGCAGTCAGCCCTTAAGGGCGTTATCTCCTCGGTGCAGGGGGCGGAGTCCTGATTGGCTTGATCCTGTGCAGACCTTGTGTCAGCAATGGCAGCAGCTGCTGAGTTCATGGGTACAGTCATGGTACAGTCACAGCAGCTTGGCTCCGCTTCTTGTAGTCTTCCTGCCCCTCCTCTTGGATGTTCCTTGAGCCTTGAGGGACATCATTCTCCCCTCTCTCCTTTCTCTTTCCCCTTTCCTCCCTCCCTCTTGTCTCCCTCCCTCTCTCCCCTTTCTCTCTCTCTCTCTCTCTCTCTCTCTCTCTTTCTTCATCTTTCTTCTTCTTCCCGCCTTCCTGCCTTCCTTCCTTTCTTTTGACAAGGTTTCTCTGTATTTCCCTGCCTGTTCTGGAACTCATTCTGTAGACCAGGTCGGCCTTGAACTCTGTCTACCTCTAGAGTGCTAGATTAAAGGTGTGTGCTACCATGCCTGACCATTTACTTACGTATTTATGTTTTTATTTGGATAGGGTTTCTTGTATTCCGGGCTGGCCTTGCATTCATGACATTTCTGAGAATGATCTTGGATTCTTGATCATCTTTCCTCTGCCTCCTGAGTGGTCGGATTATGAGTACATACCACCAAGCCCAGTCTGTGCGAGGAACCCAGGGCTCTGTGCACACTGTACCACCATGACCAGTCTGTGTGATGCCGGGGATGGAACCCAGGGCTCCATGCACACTGTACCGCCATGCTCAGTCTGTGTGATGCTGGGGATGGAACCCAGGGCTCTGTGCACACTGTACCGCCATGCTCAGTCTGTGTGATGCTGGGGATGGAACCCAGGGCTCCATGCACACTGTACCGCCATGCTCAGTCTGTGTGATGCCGGGGATGGAACCCAGGGCTCCGTGCACACTGTACCGCCATGCTCAGTCTGTGTGATGCCGGGGATGGAACCCAGGGCTCCGTGCACACTGTACCACCATGCTCAGTCTGTGTGATGCCGGGGATGGAACCCAGAGCTGCACACCGAATAGACAAGGATTTTATCAACTGAGCTACATCCTCAGATCCTAGTTTCTGAATTTTATCTTGATTATTCGTGCTCCTTTTAACTCACTAAACACCACCACAGTGATTGATAGGTCTGCTATACTTTAGACTTAATTTCAGGAGTTTACTATTTTCTTTTGATTGGACCATATTTTCTTTACTCTTTGCATGCCTTATAACTTTCTTTTGAAATGCAGCCATTTGTAAAATGAGCCAGTCCCTGCTGCGGGAATGAATTGTTCTGTTTACTTGTTTTCTCGGTAGCCTCTAGCCTTGCATCCAAACTATCACTCCTTTGAGACTCAAACCTAAGTGCTAGAGAGAGGGCTCAGGAGGTAAGAGCCCTTGCTGCTCTTGCACATGAGCCAGGTTTGATTTCCAGCACACACATGGCTCTGGCTGTTCTTGAATCCACTGTGTAGGCCCGCCTGTAATTCATAAAGATCCACCTGCTTCAATCTCCACAGTGCTGGGATTAAAGGCATGTATATACTGCCAACAGGCCGGGCATTTTGTTTTTGTTTTGAACAATGCTTGATGTATTGACATCCACTCTAGGATATTAAGATAATGTGTAAGATATGCATTATGGACCTACTCATCCTGGTATCAAGTAAGATGGGCATTATGATCCACTCATCCCGGCTAGCAAATAAGACAGGCATTTATGAACCTCTTCATTCTAGTATCAGCTAAGACAGGCATTTATGAACCTGCTCATTCCAGTATCAGCTAAGACAGGCATTTATGAACCTACTCATCTTGGTATCTAAAAAAAACAGGCATTATGAATCTGTTCATCCCGGTATCAGCTAAGACAGACATTACGAATCTGCTCATCCCAGTTATCAACTAAGACAGGCATTACGAACCTGCTCATCCTGGTATTTAGTAAGATGATCATTGTGAGTCCAAGCCCAGTTATTAAGTAGCATCAGTGATAAAAACAAACCAGTGAACATAAAAAGATGTTGTACAAAGACAAGAGTTACAGACACGATTCTTGCCGCAGGGCAGCAGCTTCTCAGCCCCACCCTATTGATGCCATGCCCCAGTGACACCAGGGAAGAATTTCCAATTGTTTTCTCCAAGGGGAAAATCTTCTATGTTTTCAGGGGAAGCTGTAAACAAAGGGGAAACATTTGGGAAGGTGCCCACATTTCTCTGAATAAGC